TCCACTAGTGGATTTGTGTTCACATTGAGAGGTGTAGCCATATTTTGAAAATCCTCTAAGCAAACTGTTATGGCTAGATCTACAATGGAATCTGAGTTTATAGCTCTGGATAAATGTGGTGAAGAGGTTGAGTGGTTACGCAACTTCTTAGAAGTTATTCCAAGATGGTCAAAATATGTGCCAGCAATTTACATATATTGTGACAGTCAATCAGCAATTGGAAGGGCACAGAGTAACATGTATAATCGTAAGTCTAGACATATAGGTCGTAGACACAATATCATAAGGCAACAACACTCAACTAGAGTTATCACTATGGACTATGTAAAGTCAAAGGATAACATTGCGGATCCGCTAACCAAATGGTTAAATAGAGAGTTAGTTAAGAAATCATCGAAAGGAATGAGACTTAAGACCTTGAACAAATAAGTTAATACAAAGGAAACACAACCTAGTTGACTGAAAATTCCAAGATCTAGGTTCAAATGGACAACCTAATTGTAAAGACTTAATTAAATCACTGTGATGGATGTTACCTCCTGTCCATTCCTATGATGTACCGGTGATGCCCGTAAAGATAAAGGATAAGCAACAGACTTTTAATGATTCTTATACATCGAAAATCAAGCCAAGCAATGCGGGTTACTTGTAATAAGAAATCACTTATGTGAGAGAGAAATGGGGTCACTTCTAAGAGAATTGTGTGGGGCTCAATTCTTAGAAACTCTTGTAGAACCAAGTGTATGTTCATGGCCAAAACGAACATGATAATGAGAACTGAATTGTTAGGAAGAATCTTGTGTGAAGTATATCATTTTTTACATAAATGGCAGAACGGTTCAAGGACAGCGTGTCTACTGGTCAGCTAATAAAGTAAATATGCTGTCACAAGGGAAGGATCAAAGGGTAGTACCTACCTATCCTATGCAGATTTCAACCATTGAGCTTAATGGCCATGTTCTTTGTTTTTACATTTGTGTCTCTCCCAATTTTAATTCATGAAGGGGATTGTTAGAAAAATGGGTTTATGGCTGACTTTGGAGCTAAATTTGAGTGGGATTCGGTTGTTCATTTTGGAATATGAAAGTTGATTTGTGTTCTCTTCTGTGAGAACGTCGAAATCATATATTTACTTGCCAAAAGGATGTTCGGGTGAATGAGCGATTGGAGCTCAAAGTGTTCTAATTGAAAGAAATCTGGGTGTTGGAAAGAAACCAATTAATGGTTGTCTCACATAGGAAAATGAAGAAAGCAAAAATCACTTTATATAGGATTACACTTTGGAAGGGTGTGATCATGTGTAGCATAGAGGCTCTGTCCAAGTGCCTGCGTAGGGGGTACAAATCAAAGAGGCTTCGGACCTTGAACTCGTATGTGATGCGACCTGCGCACATGAATATCGCACCGAATTGACCAAAAATTAGCCCCTTATGAGGGCCTACGTATTGGTTTTTTTTTTTTTTTTTT